TCGCAGGACGGAGGCCCTCTAAGACTCGCAGGACGGAGGCCCTCTAAGACTCGCAGGACGGAGGCCCTCTAAGACTCGCAGGACGGAGGCCCTCTAAGACTCGCAGGACGGAGGCCCTGCAGGACAGCGGCCTAATAGTAAAGTGTTAAGAATTGTGAACGTAGCCTTGGATGAATCTGCTGTGTTGATCTTAACCAACATCCAGGCAGTTTTTATTGAGATTATCTGATTCATGTTTATGATGAAGAGCGACGGACCTAAACACCGTTATTTGATTCTGGTGCCTCCACAGTTTCAGGTCTTTGCTGAATCATCAAGATCATAAGTTTGGTCCTGATGTTCTAGATCTGGAATGTCTAGAGATCCTGGTTTCTGTTCAGCAGCTCCACCTTATGGTTTTCCTCTGTGGTCCAGAACGGTGCCCTGTGGTGGAGACACTGTCCAGATCTTTAGCTCCTGTGGATCTAATCCTGCCTCGTTTCGGTGCCTAGCGACCCTCAGGACTACAGACTGGTAGCACTGACGTCCCATATCATGAAGACCTTAGAGAGGCTAGTCCTGGAGCGGCTAAGGCCCAAGGTCAGGCCCTTCACTGATCCACTACAGTTCACCTACCGGCCCCGTCTGGGAGTTGAGAACAGCATTATCTTCCTACAATCACCTGGACAAGCCAGCGAGCACCTGTTCTTTGATTTCTCCAGTGCCTTCAACACCATCCGCCCGGATCTACTAGGTGAGAAGATGACTGCGATGCAGGTGGAGGCCCCCATCGTGTCCTGGATTGTTGATTACCTGACGGGCAGACCACAGTATGTACGCCTACAGAACTGTGTGTCTGACAGGGTGGTCAGCAACACTGGGGCCCCCAGGGGACTGTCCTCTCCTCCTTCCTCCTTCCTCTTCACCCTTTTCACCTCAGACTTCAGCTATTGCTCTGAGTCCTGCCACCTTCAGAAGTTTTCTGATGACTCAGCAATTGTTGGCTGCATTGAAAAGGGTGAGGAGAGTGAATACAGGACTGTGGTGGACAACTTTGTCACTTGGAGTGAGCTGAACCACCTGCAGCTCAATGTGACAAAGACTAAGGAGCTCATAGTGGATCTGAGGAGGACAAAACACCTGTGACCCCTGTTTCCATCCAGGGGGTTCCTGTTGACCCTGTGGAGGATTAGAAGTACCTGGGAGTGTACTTTAACAATAAGTTGGACTGGACTAGAAACACCGAGGCGGTCTACCAAAAGGGCCAAAGCCGACTATTCTTCCTGAGGAGGCTTAAGTCCTTTAACATCTGTGCG